AATAATATGAACACCTATGCTTTCAAGTGTAGGATTTTACTTTCTTGGAAGTTAGTATCATGAGCAAACTCAGTGTTTGTTTACTGAATGCAATTCATTCATTTGATCCATGAGCAAAGGCCAATGCAGTATGATTGGTGAGAAATGTTTGAGCCCGGTCATTTTAATTGCAAATATTTTATAATCTATGTCTTTAGAAATATAAGATAGTTTACTTTTTTTTTTTTAACTCTGCATTCTTTAATGAGCGGTCTTTATCTTTTATCTGTTCACTTTTTTCCAGGTTTTAGGGACAAAGCCGGAGCTTAGGGATGGAGACGATGATGACGACACCGTAGCAGACATAACCAACAGGAAAATGGCTAAACTCTACATGGTGAGTTCACTGTTAGTGAGTTCTATTGTTTTTACTAGACTGGATACAGCCGGGAGACCTGTTCTGGAAGGGACTCTGCTGTAGCTGATAATTCTCATTGCTCTCAAAGAGAAGTGTGTAGGTAGAATCCATTCTATGCTCTAGTATGTTTATTAAAATTCTTCTTTTTATTACTTTTTGTTATTTTTTTAAAAATGTCAAATAATCAGTGAAATTACTGCTACAACTTAAATAAAATTATATAGTGTTGCCGTGCTAGTTTGCAACAATATGTTTTGATACGTGACATTCAATAAAATGTTTCCTTCATGGGATAAAAATACTCAGTAAGGTTTTTCTTATAAAATTTTGATAAACTATAAAAGCCTCACATTATTTTAAATATCTTGTTCAGCCATAATGAAGGCTTTTTTTGTTACAGGAGGGCAAAGCTATCAAATCAAACAGCTGGGAGGAAACAGGGTAAAAACAACCCTGTCCTGGCCATTGGACTCCTAGTTCCATGTCACTGATGTAGTGATGACCCCTGGATGACCTTGGGCAAGATATGACCATGCTGGGTCTCAGTTTTCTTATCTGAAAAAAAGAAAGACAGATTCCATTAGAAGATTATTCAGGTTCTTTACAACTCCAGAATTTTATGATTTTATTGCTGGTGAAGGTAACAGAAGTCACAGATACACCGGTATCTGAGACTGCTCAAATGGGATCCTTCAGGAGTTCCCTCCCCTTGTAACTTTCCAAGAGCATGATTTAGAGCAGACCACTAATCTCCCTGCAGAACTAGGTAGTCATCAGTCATCACAGGAAGGAGTTATATTTGCTATTCTTGAAGAGAACTTCTAACTCAGTTGCTGAAGTGGTGGGGGTGGGAGGGATGGGGTGGCTGGGTCATAGACATTAGGGAGGGTATGTGTTATGGTGAGTGCTGTGAATTGTGCAAGACTGTTGAATCACAGATCTGTACCTCTGAAACAATACAATATATGTTAAAAAAGAAGAAG